TTATGCCTGAATTACTCTTTTTTTTTAATCTTAGTAACAGCTTTATTATATTCTTAATTTTTTTTATATTGTTACCATTTATAATTGAACCAGATGGGGCAAGCCGTATGTTTAATGACTTGCTTAAACAAAATAGCCAGTTATACGGTGTGTTTAGAATATCCCTTCATAATCAATTATGATTTATGAAACTCCGCTTTTTTTTTTTAAAAAAAAAATCACTCAAACATTTTTTTTGTTTTAAAATCTATTTAATAATCAATTATAGCCTTGAAATTCTATTGCGCGAAAAGTTATTTGAAACTTCACCTAGGTGTGTTTGAATTTCAGTTAGCTAAACTTGGTCATAAAAAAATTGATTATTAGAAAAAATAATTGATTATCAAATTGAGCTTTATCGTTTCTCCCACAATAGAGTTTTAGAGTCATAACATTATCAAATAGAGTTTAAAAAAATGGGGTGTTTGGATGATTTTTTTTTTCAAAATGGAATTTTAGGAACCATAATTGATTGTGAAAGGTATCCAAATACATGTGATAATCAAATATTTTGAAACTCCATTTGATAATAAATTTTACCTAACTAAAATCCAAACATACCCAATAGAAAAAATATTATATATTTTACCCTCACTAATCAATGAGGTTAAGTTTAAATAAAAATAATAATAAAGAATTAAGGAGGTGATGATCAAGGTGGCCTTATAATTATTACCTGGTGGTTCTGGAATTTGAGCTTCACATGGCAAATTTGGGGCTAACACCATTGCAAATATGAAGAGAAGAGTCACCAAAGAACACCTCCAAGAATTGCTTGCCATTGCTTACATATGACAATAAGCAGATATTAGAAGTTCCTTTTTTTTTTTAAGCTTTCTAAAAGATGATAAGAATAAATGAATATGAGGAAGCTTTATTTATACTGGTTCTTTCATCAGGCATGAGTTTTCTTGTGCCGAGATATTTGAATTTTTTTTTTTGGTAATGATAGATAGTTGAATTTAATTGTTGACGTTTGTGGCTTAATCCATAGATTTCAATATGAGATCATATTTTTATTATTTCATATCACATAGATGACAGCTACCTCAGTTATAACGTTGGAAAAACTTGTGGGATAAATATAGTTGAATCTTGAACATCTAAACTCCATCAGTTTTCCATCAAGTGCTTGATTCTGTTGAAATATTAGTTGTTTAATCATGGTTAGTCGTTAGTTAATAATGTTCAGTTCTTAGTCTAAGTCATAGTTGACAGCCAGGCATTTCAATGGGAAGGTATACTGTGTTAACCTCACCTCATCCTATACGTGGGGATTATTTCGCACCACCTTTAGTGAGGAATAAATTGTGGTTGTAAATCCTTCAAATGAAGAATTATGATGGTGTCATGTTATATCATTTTCATCAATGAATGTTCAATCTTATTTTCTTTATTTAACTTTTTGTAATCTCAACAGAATCAAGTGGTAAGAGAGTTGTACAAGTTTAATCAGAGGTCCTAGCCTGAGAGATGAGCCGTTTTATTTTGAAGGGGCATCATTGTTTTATCTTCAATAATATGTTCGTTCTATCACCTGATGTTGCCCGCTTGAAAGTCTGAGGTTTGAAAGATTGACCAATATGTATGATTTTAATCTGGCCATCCAGAAGAAATACCATTTTCTAGTTTAATCACTTTACTCAATCAAATAAATCAATATTTCTTGCCGGATTTGTCAATCGGAATCATGAACTAACTACCATAATTAATTATAATTTGGACTCTGTAATAATTTATAGTTTACCAACATAATAATATTGCACAATATGATTCTGCGATGTCATCTTTTGGTTGATAACTTTAGATTTGGACGTTGGCTTGTATTTCTGATTTCATAAAAGGAAAAATGGGAAAGCGTTGTCTTCAATTGGTATGTAAATGCTGATTTAAATTCAAGCTTCATCCACGTAATTAGGCGGGGTATTTGATTGCAAAATTGAAAGTTGATCATGCTTGTGGTATTTATAAGGTTAAGAGAAAAGAAATTTTTTAAAATGTTTATAAGTTACTCCCTTTATTAAAAAATGTAGAACATTTTTAGCCAAATCTTATTCCCCACTAAAGTAGTTAATTTTCTTTAAACTAATCATATCTTTTCATATTTACCCCTATTTCATAGAGTATTTCACTTTAAAATAAATATAAAATAATTTATTCAATTGGGGCATTTTTTTTAAAAAGACAATAATTATACCTTAAAAAACTAAAAATGCTTTACATTTTTAAATATTTAATTCCTTAAAAATTATCATATATTTTTTAATAGAGGGAGTATGTCATTAATTTTTTATCACAAGTTTTCCTTTTACTTTCCATAAATAATGGTGTGAGAAAGTATGATATTAAGATACTCCATCAGATTCTTAAGCAAAGGACTCAACAGTAACATGTTTTAATATTAGTCTCTATATTTGAGGGAAAATGTCAATTAAGAATCCTCTAAGGACATTAATCTCAATTAAAGACCATAATATTTTGAAATTCTAATTAAGGACCTAGTCCTTCATTGGGATAAAAAATATATTTAACTTTACAAAATTACCTTTTCCCTAAACACTGAAAGGTAGCAGCAAATTAGCTTATGTCACGTTCTCTATTCTTGTTTTTGGGTGCAAAAAATCTGCTCTCGTGAGTAAAAAAATGTAGGCAAAAAATAAGTGGAGTAGATCATCATTTGAGTCATCATCTTTTTCTCTTTTGGTCATAGGTAATTACATAATTTCTTCTTCTACATCTTCTTCTTTGCTATGCACACAAGAAAAATTTGCAATTTCCTCTTCTCTGTCTTTAACATCTCCTCTGTCATGTATGCGTGAAAGAATTTTTAGATATTTGTAAATGCCATCTTACACCATTTCTCTTTTATAGTTAAGAAAAAAGTAATCTTCTTGATGATTAATAGATTATATATATAGACACACATAATAAATAATTTTTAAGAACGATAGTATTAAAAAAATTGAGTGAAAAACAAGAATGATGCAACATGGATGTTGAATTTTTTATTTTATGATGAAAAGTTCATTAATGTTAAAAAATGCAACATGCATGCTAAATTGTTGTAATCGTGATTAGGATTACGGGAATGATAGTTGTGAAATAATAAATTTGTGTGCTGCTTCTAGTTATTGTAAGTTTATTTCTTATAAGGTAAGTATTTTAACAAAAGAAGTATTTTATTATTTTCACGTTGAAGGACATTTTGTAAAAGATTCACAAATGAAAATGACCTATGAAGATGTGAGATTAATTTCTAAATTGATTAGAGAAGGCATAAATCATGAAGAGCTATTGAAGATAATGTCATCAATGATAGGAGTTGAAAGTATTGCAGCTGACTTGAAATTTATAATAAAATTTTGCTATTGAATGACTTTTTATATAAACACTCACGCCATATTTTTTGTACTTATGGAGGTGACAAGTTATATAAATAAGTTTGTAGTTTACATTTTTTTTTTGGAAGAAGACTATAAAAGTATCATTGAGGTATATGGGATATTTTCTGTGTAAAAAGGAATGCAAAGATAGTGTACATATATTGAAATCAGTATAATATAATGCTGATATTTATTTCAGGTTTAAATATGTACAAGTGTAAATGTTGTCATCACATAAGACTGTTGAAGTCACTAACGTAACATAAGATATTGCTATTGTAACTAGTAAAAATATAGAACCTCACTTGGGAATAGATTTTTCTACAATATTTCAGACTTTGAAGTGTAAACATTATCATAACAAAAAACTTACTTTTAAAATGTTCTAAGGCTGCTTATGAAAATACAAGCATCATTGAAGAAGTCAGTAACTTCAGTGAAGAATATGAATACTAACGTGATTTATCAAATTTATACTAAACTGACTTGTCAAATTGGGATTTATTAACATCACTTGAGAATTCACTTATCCTACTTCAAAAAATGGCTAACATATATTGTAAAAACATGAAACCTTACTTAAGAATAAATTGTTTAAGAAAAATGACTCATCTAAATTGAGATTCAATAACGTCACTTTAAAATTCACTAATCTAACTTGAAAAAGTAGCTAACGTATATTGGGAAAAAGTGACTTAGGAAAAAGTAACTTTTCCATAATGGTTTAAATATATTAGTTCTTGTGATTAAGATTTTCCCAGCTATATAAAGTTAGAGTTTTAGAACATTTCAAAGTTTGAGATACTACATATATATATATATATATATATATATAAGATTTTAGTGTAAATTTTGAAAATTGTATTACAAAACAATTTTTAAAAATAAAAAATAAGAACAGAAACCAAACAGGTCCTAATTGTCTCATTCATTCTCTCAACTCTCTGGTTATTACGAGGGATAAAATCATAAAAAGGACTCAGAAATTTATGCTTGAAAGGTAAGATCTCGAAACAGCCTGTGCAATTTACAATGCGGAGAAAAGTATAATTAGCTCATAATGTGATTTAATAATGTTAAATAATCAAATAATAATATTTATAGTTAAATTGCAATTGACACCGGTTACCACAAACACGTGAATCTGATTAAATTGAATTTTTTTAATATATTTGAGCCTAGCAGTAATGTAAGTTTCGATTTGTATGCCAAATAATTTAGTAGTATCATCCTATATATGAAAACACATCAAAATCTTTTTTTTTTACCAGAACATCGATCAAAAGCTTAATTATTACAACATTATGTTTTATGGCATTTTAATTTGAATGCATAATCCACATCTATAAATTGGCCTTGCCATATACAAGTATATCAGCTTCATCAGAGACAACTCTGTACATTCATATATAAAGGCATACTATATATGAATATACTTGAGTTGCAAACATTTGCAACAAGTTAACATTGCAGTGAGAAGAATGTGAGACCCCCCCTTTTATTTAATACGTGACGGAAACAAACCTGATTATTACCATTATACATGTAGAGAGACACTCATTGAACGATTAAATTCTATCCATAAGAAATAAGCAAAACCACATCAACCATAAACGAACATATAAAGTGAACGCATATAACAATTATATTAGATAAAGCATGTATAATCATGTCTGTCTTTGTGAGAATTTAATAACTGGGAGGTTCAGCTGGAGAAGGGCAAAAGCAGGGGCAGCATTTGCCTGGAGCTGGAGGAGGAGCACAACACAAACATCGAGGGCATATGGGAATGGGAATTCCTGTAAAACAACATTAATTTAATTAATTATACTTGTAGCTACAACCTCAAACAAATATATTTCAATATTAGATATCATAAACTTGAAATTTAATGAAATATTGTTACTAATAGGGATATAGAAAATATCATCAAGGAAAAAAGGGGAAACAATAGGATTTACTCGGATGTGGAAATGATGTTGGAGCTGGTCCTCCCGGCGGCGGCGCCCTTGCTGCATCGCACGGCAAGGTTGCCATCGGAGACATGATCAGGGCAAAGATGAAAAGAGTCAGCAAAGAAACCTTCAAAGAGTTACTCGCCATTTAATTTGTTAAACAAAAAAGAGTGTATATTACTCTGAAAGGTTTGTTATGGAGATTTTATGTTAATAAGAATGTAGTTATTGAACATATTTATAATGCTAGTTTAGCTGAGGCACATGCATGGTCTCGTGTTTGCCGGAATATTTGAATTCAAAGTCAATATATGGGACTTGACGTTACTAAGTTTATTTCCAACGGGATACGTTATTGGAGTTTACAAAATAGGTCATGCAAGATTTCCATATTTTTATTTTTATGATGAAACTATTTATGATATTCTAATAACAATAGTTACTCGCTCCATAGTATTATATATAAGATACTTTTAACTTAAGCCCCTAATAAATTAGTTAATGATATTTAAAATAACTCTTTTTTATATTTATTCTTTTTTAATACGCTGGCTCTCAATTAAAAAATTTACTAATATTGATTACATCCCTGATCAAGGATATTTTTTAAAAAATCTTAGTAATTATACCTTGAAAGAGTCAAATACCTCATAGTCCCTTCAGTCTTTAATATAAAACAAAGTTTGAAAACTTTTTTTATTCTTAATATAAGATAAAATTAGAGTAATTATATTTTTTTTCAAATTTTTAACCTTTGTTTATTTATTGTGATTTAAATTTTTAGACCACAATACTTATTATGATTATTAACTACAAAAAATGTAAAATTGAGAAGTTATACTTCTTTCATCTTAAGTTATGAGACACTTTTAAAAGAAATTTGATGCCCTAAAATATAAAATACTTTGATGAAAATATTTCATTGATTTTCCTCTTTCAATATTACTCTTTTCATATTCTCCCTCTCTTTAATATTCTTTCATAAATGAAGCATTAAATAAAGGTCATTATTTTGAAAGTTTATATTTGTCTTGAAAATGTAAAATTGTAAATTGTATTTAATAAACCTTATTAATATGTGTGATTTTGTCTTCAAGTGCTTATGCACTATGTTATCCATGCTCTATTTAATAAAATCATACCAATTCAATCAAATAAAATCTTATGTGTAATTATTTTAATGACTTTATTTTTATAATAGAATGCATGTTTAATTTTTTTTTCTTTTCTCTCTCTATTATCATTAATGATAGAATTAATTTATATTTAATGCCACCTGAATGTCATATTTTTATTGAATGGAACATGGATGATGTGCTACACTAGGTTCATACAAGAATTTCTTAAAAAAATGTCTTATAATTTTAAAAACAATTTTTAAGATATAACTTATATTTCTTAATAAGCACAAAGTTGATTTACTTTGCCTTGTATATTATAAAAAAGTGTTTTATATAATACTGAATGGAGGCAGCATATTTTAAAATTCTCATAAATCGTTACTAGTTGTATTTGTAAGATATTTTATGTACTGTATTTATAGAAACATTAATTACTTGTTTTTGCTGCATACGTTTAATTATTTATAAAATTGTTAAACGTCTCTTATAAAAATGTTTGGAGGAGGAGTTGTTTACAGCCTAATAATGGTATTGTAATTTTCAACAATGTAAAAATTATTTAATGATTTTTAGTCTATAGACTATAGTACATATAAATTTCAAAACTGGATTCACCCACGCATTGCATCATCTTAAAAAGAAAAAAAAAAACGATATAAAATAAGTAGTGCAATGAAAAGCAGGAAAGCGTCGTGTTTGTGTACAAAATGCTCTTCATATTTAAGCCACGTACTTAGCCAACTTTGTCCTTTATATAATTAGAACATACCTCTAGGAATAAAATTTCACTTGGAATTCTATCCTTTAAACATGACTTGTTGAATTCTAGTCAATATACTCCTCTCGTTTCTATTATAAGATGCAATTAGTCAAAATGACAGTTAACTCAATAAATGTTTTGATGAATAAAATTTCAACTTGGTGGATAGAATACTGAAGTTGGCCTCATTCCATTATTATACAGCACTGTTACACACGGATATTTCAATTGCCACCATTAAAGGCTTAATTTGCTGCGGGATAAATCCCAATAAAATGCAATCCGGAAAACATCATATTTCAGGTATTATATCAAAGACTTTTTCTGCATCATTAAGATTTCTAAATTGTACCTAACAATATTAATAAGAATATAGGTCGGCTTGAAAATGCACACAAGCCAAGCGATAATTCTTCACTTGCCCAATTTTTATTGAGTGTGTTGACCCTGAGCTTGAGTGAGTGATTGGGGTTTCAATCAAAGCAACCAAGTGAGGAGGCAGTGAACTAGGATTAAAATTGAATTATATAAGTGCCGTTTAATTGATGAAAAAGAAAAATAAAATGAAATGAATTGATGAAGAATAAAATGAATTAAAATAGGTCATAAATCGATGGAAAGGTAAAAATTAAATGATTAAAGAGATGAAAGCTATGGATTGATAGAAAGATGAAATAAAATAATGGATACAGCATAGGAATCTTTACTTTTAGAAATCCAAAATTTAAAAGTAAAACAACAAAAAACATTTACCAAATTAAAAAAAAACAGAGCTTTCTATACACTTATTTATTAATATTTTCTTATATATAGAAATAATTTAACAATTTAATCCTATATTTCTTTGACTAACACGCACTTTGTCATACGCGTTTTTTTATTTCTTACTGATATTATTTCATTGGAGGCAATGTTGTACATTCGAGGTTTGTAATGTGCACTTTTAATTGTAGTTAACAAATTTAACCCAAATCTAAGTAATATTTTTTGGGCAACCAATAAATTTTTAATTAGTGGTTAAACAAATCCTGAATGGTTTGTGAATAGAAGTCTTTAATTACTGGTTAAAAAAGCATCCTAAATAAGTCCCAAAAAAAAAATCCTAATAATAAATAAGGCTAAGCATCCAAAGTCCAAACTCTTCAATTTACCCACTGAGTCATTACAAACATTTAATATTATATCAGGCTAAAAATAATAAAAATATATTAATCTATGAAGTTGGAGAGAGAGAGAGAGAACTCTGCGTCATTGCTGTTGACGTCAATGACGGCCGCAATGGCATGCTTCCGGCGATCCTTGATGACTTTGGCGAAGGTTTGGCCATTCACATTCTATATTTGGATTACATCATCAACACTACAACCTCCCTCGAACATGCTTTTCAGAACCTGTGATTTCAGCATTTCTTTCACATCTATCTCGAATAGGTTCTCGTCGAAGCTAGCTAGAATTAGCTTCTTAGACGACGCCATTTCTGTCATTATTCGGTAGAAGAAGGTTTCCGACTATCCAGAAACTTTTTACCGGACTCACCAGGAGACTAGTTGAACGACCAGCTTGGATTGGATTTTAATGCCATTAATAAATGCTTGTCCAGTAAATAGTTACCTGATGAAGCCAGAGTCATCCGAGATTCCAAACTAGAGCGCGTCCTGAGGTGTAGTGGCAATGAATTGGAAGACGTGGTTCGATATGCAGAATTGTTCAAAGGCCAAAGTTCTAGCAATGAAATGAAGGGTAATCCTTGGTCAGTGCTGATAAGACAGACATCAATGTTGTCGATCGGAGAAACATGAATGACCTCCACTCTTTCTGTTTCACCAACTCTATTGAGCCTAGTTTGTGCCCAGAAATTGACTCCAAGATGGAATTCGAAGTTTGGAACGGAACTTTTGTTGTCATAATTTCCATATTTGTAGTAAGCTCTGATGAGATATTTGTTGTTCCTGCCTCGTTTGGGTTTGAGTGAATAGCAATTCTGTTTCCCATCTGGAGAGTTTCTCAGAGTGTTTAACTGCTCCCAAATCTGTCCGTCTTCCCTCTGATGTATTTAGAAGGGGGGAAAAAATCTCAAAGGGTGTATGTATGGGAAAGAAAATACGACTTTGTAAGGGAAAGTGTATTATGAAAGAGAATATGTAATCTTAAAAAGCTGAACAAAGTGGGAGGGAGAAGACTGGAAAGATATATATACATAATTACATACACTCTAATTAACTAATATGTGTGCAGAAGATTGTTCGGGCAGGATCCAACGGGTTGTGAACATGACTTGAAGAGAATATGTATGTACATAAGAAAGATATAATGAGTCTCGTACTTATTGTAGTGAACAGCAATTAAGTTAGGTCGTCAAGGATTTTTTAAGTATGTGAACAGCAAGTTGTCTCAGTGATATAACAACCTCTCTTGTTTGAAAAAGGTCTCAAATTAGAATCCAACATTGTCATGTTTACATATGTATATGTTTAATTTGATTGTATAAGAAACAAAAGATTTTTCAAGTATATATGGAGCCACTGAAAGCTACATCTGGTATATATAACACAGTCAAAACAATCTATATGGTTTTAAATAAAATAGTCAACATGTTATAAGAAATAAGCAGATATATATAAACTATGATTCTATGACAAGTTGAGCCTATGGACAATGCAACCAATGTAATGAGAATCAAACAAAATGAGTTGATTTGACTATTTAAATCAAGAACTGATCTAGGGTGATAAGATTCTAGCTAGATTTCCCATCATGACTTATTAAAAAAGGAAGCATGAAAAGATAAATTAGGATTGATTTTTTAAGAGAGATTTTATTAGCTTTTTTATTTAGATATAGATATTTCTTCAAATTTTATTTAGATTTTAAATTTTATTCAGTATTTTATCTAGATTTAGATTCTACGAGATTTTATTTAGTTTTATTTGATTATCTAGTTATTTTAATTTTATTTATTTTAAATTGTATTTAGCTTTATAAATATGACTAACAACTTGGAAGCTAGCATATCATCATCATCATCATCAATAAAACAATCTTTTAAACCCTTTGAAGATTTTTCTAAGCATGGTTATTGAGAAAAATATAAAAAAAAAAAGATTCTTATTCTATATCATCGTAATAGATTTGTCTCTTTTATTTCCTTGGATTATTTGAGCACCTAACACAGTGTTTAGTCCAAACATCATAAAAAACCACAAGTGCATAGAATTGGTTGAACCAGCCTTAAATCGATCAAATAAAAAGAACCGATGGTTAGCAGTTTGAACTAGTTACATTTTTTTCTTATTTTTAGTTTTGAATA